TATATATATATATATATATATATATATTCCATTCTGTGCATCCAAAGAAGTGGGCTGTAGCCCACGAAAGCTTATGCTCAAATAAATTTGTTAGTCTCTAAGGTCCCACAAGTACTCCTGTTCTTTTTGCCAATAAAATGTAAATGCTCCTCCTGTGTTCCTTGATTGTTCAAGACCAGAGTATTTTCTGGGACATCGTTAAACTGCTGAACTATTCTGCATCATGCAAAATGGAAATGGTTCTATTTATATTGCACATGTACATTACCAGAACTCTGCCCCCTCCAACTAAGTGCCACAGGGAGGAACTAGAGAGCCATATGGCAGTAGCAAAGTCCAGTTAAACGTCCAATTTAAGCAAAAGAACAACCCATCACACACAACAGCCAGTGTTCATGCCAGAAGTACTTGTGTGCTCATTCTGGTAGGGAACAGAAACAATACCATGCAACTCTATTGGCCTTGCAATACTATTCCAAACAAGGAATCCAGAAATGGGAAGCATGGGGGGCAGTGAAAAAAATCAAGAATATTTGAATACATTCAATAAATAGGTAATCAGTAATTGTCATTTACTAGTGCATATTTTAGGAGCAGAAAAACAGGCTAAATCCAAATAAATGTGCTCTGTTCTATTTATGATTAATTATGCCACCACCACAGGTGGCAAATTTATTACCTTGATCCTGCAACTTGCTCTGCATGTACAGACCCCTGCATCTATGTGTCATCCATTGTACTTTACTTGAACCATACATGGGAGTAGGGGCTCATCCATGAACATCAGCTTGAAGGATTGGGACCTTAAAGATGGTGGGTTCCTCCAAAAAGTTACCTTGGCCAACACCCTAACCTGCTATTTAAAGTTGGTGGGGGCTTTCCTGGTAGCACTACTGTGCTATATTTGATCTATATTAATAGTTTTTAAAATTATACTGACACACAGGAAGGACAAAATTGTCAAATTAAATGTTACATTTCTCAGCCTGTGTTTACTTTACTTAATTTGTATTTCTTGGCTTTTATGTTTTAGCCCAACCTAATTTGAATTTATGTTTTTCCTATGACAGTGTCCCATACACGTTTGTATAACGGCAATGATTATAGCAAATTCCCTATCTTCATTCATCTACCTCTACAGCATCATTTCTTTTGTGATGCTCATCTGAAGTAACAAACCACTGAAATCAAAATTCAGAGTTGTTCCCGCCTCTGAGTTTCCCAATTGTGCTGGTATTTCCTCTAGGTCTGTTAGAATATAAGCTTGCAAAAGAAGGACTGTCATTTCATGCTTTCTACAGAGCTAGTGACATTGTTAGCACTTAATGAATAAGAGAGATTAAAAACTGGATATTTAAAAGAATTAAGTTGGAATATACTTGTCTCTTTTTGGTCTACTGCTGAAAAACCCAGGGGTGAATCCAGGCCCTTCCGAGATCAAAGAAAGTTCTGCTATTGACTTCAAAGGGAGCAAAAATTTCACCCCTGGAATCCATTTTTAAATTGGGCTGGGTGGGGGGTGGGGGGAAGAGATGAGATAGTTTGGGGGTGGGGAGAATTACTTTATATAAATTTAGCTGAAAATGCAGGAAATGTGTCCCCAGAAATGGGGTCTTTTGTACAAATATAGCAATATCAACATATTTTTATATTGAATGAGAAGGTTACAGGACTAGTAAAGAATTCTGAGCTATTCTCACCTCTGACAGCCATTCAGCGTGACCTTGGACAAATTGCTCAATCTCTCAGTTCCTCAGTTCCCCTCCCCCACAACTGTGAAAGGTAGATAATATTTACTCAGGAGTTATAAGGAGGTTTAATTTAGTGTTTGTAGAGCACTCATGGCCTTTTTTCCCCAGGGATATCAAAGTACTCTATTATTCCATCCACAGTATTCACTCACGCTTTCCCATTCCTCTTACCTACTGTGGGACAGAGGATGGGAAAATGTATTTATCCAGGGTTGTGTATTGTGCTCACCAACCACTGTGGTACCCAAGAGATGTGTGTGGTGGGCAAGGACATACAGTGGTGGGTGGCTAAGCAATTTAGGGCCTAATGCTTCAATCCTTACTCATTTGAGTCACACTTGTTAGTAGCCCCACTGAAACCAATGAGCTACTCACATGCGTAAAGACTATTTGCACAATTTCATAAATTAGACGTTCCTCTGAAATGATTACAATATAAGGAAGTGTCTTTTTTTCCTTTAAGACACCATATCGACTAATGACACTACTATTACATACAGTGATCAGGATGCCCGTTACTGTTTTGCACTACATCATGCTTTCCATCCAAAGACCTCAAAGTGTTTTGCCAAGTAAAGCCTCACCACACCCCTGTAAGGGAAATATCCGTTATCCCCATTTTACCGATGGGGAAACTGAGGCATGGAGCAACTACATGAATCGCCCAATAGCAGGTAGCAAGTCTGTTGCAAAATTCAAGAGTTCCTAGCACCCAGTTCTATGTTCACATACGATCTGTATTCCCCGAGAACATCAAGATGAGCCTAAAGCTGCCAAATTTCAACCAGCTAAGACAAGGCAGGTAACAACTCTCTCATTTCCTTTGTGATCCTAGAAACAAAAGCCATCCCATCCTTGTCTAATTACACCGCTTTTTGAGACACCTGCCTAGCATGAAGGATGGGTTATTTATGAAGCACCAGCTGTCATATAAGGGGGACTAGAAGGGGCATCAAAAGATCCCTTTGGAAAGGCGACATTTGCTGTTCCACATAAACTCCCAGGGGAGCCAGGGCTCTTGAATGGTTTCCCAACACCCTGCATATGGGCAGGGTTATTTTTCGGCAATATCTAACCACCCACTAACTACATTCTGTGCTGATTTCCCACCCCCACTATCCCAGCCAAGGGACGAACCTGCTCCAGCCACTACCGACCGGAGCCGGCATGCAATTCCAAGGCTGGGATCTCGGCATTGGCAATGCCGCCGGGGCCACCCGAGGCGCTGCCTTCGACCCAGCCAATACGTTGAAAGCGAGTTTCCAAAGAGAGCTGCCAAATCCCTGCCAAGGACACACACGAGTCGCCGCTGGCTGCGGGCGGGGTCGATGAGCCCCCGTCACACGCCCACCGCAACCCACTCACCGCCGGCCGCCGCGGGGAAGCCTCCCCCGTTGCTCTAACCCGCGGTGGGGCGGGATTCCCGAGCCCAGGGGCGCCCGCCGCGCTCCTGTTCCAGCCGGGCCGGGCTAGCTGTGGAGTTTGCCCCGCAGCTGCTGCTGCTCCCCTGGAGCCGGGACTGCGCCCCTTGCCCTGCCCAGAGCCAGCCGCGCCGGGAAAGAGCGGCGGCCGCGGGCGGGGAGGAGCCTGGCGGGGGGAGAGGGAGCGGCTGGCAAAGGGGCAGGTGGCGGCGTGGTGCGGAGTCACTGCCCTCCCCTTCATCCGCCCCCCCCCAGGCGCGGGCAGGAGCCGGGGCGGGATTCCAGGCGCGGGTGACACACCGCGCTCGGGGAGGGGGCCGGAGACAGGGAGTCCAGGGGCTGCAGCCGGCCAGGCGACGAGCACCAGTCAGCTCATGCCCGGGGCGTAAAAACCAGCCAGCCGCTCCCCGCGGGCTGCCCCAGCCAGCTCTCCCGCCTAGGGCGCCCGGGCTGCTGCCGGGGGTGTTAAGGCCGGTGGTTTGTAACGCGTCCCCACTGCTCCGGGGCGGGGAGGGGCTTGCTGCGAGATCTTTGAAGGGGGGGGGGGGATAAGGCGCCCTGACGGCTGAAGCTAAATGCGTATTTTGGTGCGATTAAAGAAACACAGAGAGCCACCGACTGGCTTTGTGGCTCCCTCGCCTTCCCTGGGCTGTGCAGGTGTTTGCGTTTCAGCCTTTGGAACAGCCCAGCTCTCGTTACAGCCGCACTGCACCGGTGACTTAAATCCTGGTGCCAGGTGTAACCCTCTGCAGGCGAGTGGGAGCTCAGGGTTTCCTCTCTGAGAAGGCAGGCGAGGGCTCAGCTGGAGGAGCGCCTGGGATCAGCGACACCAGGAACCCTGCCGGGTGCAGCAGGTGGTCCTGTGACTTGGGTCCTCTCCTAGCGAGCAACCACGTGTAGCTACTTCTTCCACCCCCGGGCGATTTGCAAAGCGCACTCATCCCAGGAAAGATCAGAGCCCTTCCTGACACCTCACCGTCTCCGCCCTTTGCTTTTAATGGGCTGCCTTTTGCATTTGGAAAGGACGAAGAATGATCGTTAATTAGCTTGCCTCACACCTGAGGAGGATATGGAGGAAGATTGCTCCTTTTTTTAGCTGTCTTCCTTCTAAAGTTCAGTAATTTATCTGCCCCGGGAAATTTATTTGTCTCTAGTTCCTCTATACGTTATTCTGTCATTTGCATTAGCATATGTTAAGTGCATTGCAACATGCTATTTGCCACCTCCCGCAGCTCCGGGCCCTTAGTTTGACTTCCCTGCCTTCCAGGAATTTCGCAAATAGGTCATTGGGTTCTTGGAAAACGTATGCTGAACCCTTTTAAATCAGAGTCCAAAATGGCTTCGATTAGATGTGGGTTCTATCGGTCTTGAAACTGTGACTTAAGTGACCTTCCAGAAATAAGTTACATTACTAATAACTCTTTACATTATATTACTAATAAGACACTTAAATGCTTCACTTTTTACTATGTGAGGTCTATGAATTGTTCTTTTAAGTCTGGACATCTCTCCTTGCTGTTAAGTCAATAACAACATCTTATCTAGTGGGAGAGAGGAATTTCGCAGACCTCCAAGTTGAAAAGCCTGGTTTCTCTTCCTGTTATTTACAGCATATAGAAACTAGCACAGTGTTTGGTTTCAGAGTAGCAGCCGTGTTAGTCTGTATCCGCAAAAAGAAGAACAGGAGTACTTGTGGCACCTTAGAGACTAACAAATTTATTAGAGCATAAGCTTCCGAAGAAGTGGGCTGTAGTCC